TCTTGACCAGTGCGCATGGTCACCCCAGTGTGCCCCTATTTGGAGAGCTTGCACTAGCCAGCGCAGCCTTGTTTGATTTAGGGGTGTATTTCACGGTGGTTGGTGCAACCATGCTGACGGTTTCTGTGTTGGGTGCAGTATCCAAGGAGGTGCAGCCATGAATATAGCCCTACCCAGCATGGAGCTTTTACTGTCTCTGGCCATAGGTTTGGTGAGCGCAACAGGGGTTTATTTGCTGCTGCGCGGGCGCAGTTGGCCTGTAATCTTGGGTTTGGGCGTACTTAGTTATGCTGTCAATGTATTTATTTTTGTCATGGGGCGCTTGTGGTACAAGGCCTCGGCCATCATCCAAACCCCCGATGGGCAGTTTGCCGATCCTTTGCCGCAAGCCCTAGTGCTCACAGCGATAGTGATAGGTTTTGCCACGACTGGTTTTGTTATAGAGCTGGCCATCCGCAGTCGCCAGGAATCGGGCAGCGACCACGTGGATGGTCATGAGCCTGGTCATAGCGTGGCCTATACCGTAGAGCACAAGGATGATGCGCCTTTGCAAAAAGCAGCCATGGATAACAACAAGTTAAAAGATGGGGCAGCATGAGTACGTGGTGGACTAACATGCTGAGCGCCTTGCAAAGCCATTTGCCGATTTTACCGGTGGTGCTTTGCTTGCTTGGAGCGGTGGCGCTACTTTTGTTGGGCGATGCTGGCGGGGAAAAGGGTTTGCTTGTGCGCCGTGCATGGAGTTTGTTTGTATGCCTGCTTTGTCTGGCATTGGCGGCGTGGATGTTTACACTAGCCGCCCAAGGGCAAATCTTGGTATACCGTGTGGGCGATTGGCTGCCTCCATTTGGCATCGTTTTGGTGGTGGATAGACTTAGTGCTCTCATGGTATTGCTGGTGTGGATGGTGGCTTTACCCGCCCTTTGGTATGCCAGTATGGGTTGGGATAAGAGGGGGCGATTTTTCCACGCACTTTTCTTGTTGCAGTTAATGGGTTTATCTGGTGCATTTGTTACCGGAGATTTATTCAATCTCTTTGTTTTTTTTGAAGTTTTGCTTATAGCTTCGTATGCCTTACTGTTGCACGGCCAGGGCAGGGAGCGCTTTAGGGTGGGTTTGCAT